CACAATCTTTTTAATTGGGTATAGAAACTTCTCAGCATAAGATTGAGAAACTCTACATACCCATGTGAGTTCCTCCATTGCCTCAATGTCTCTTGTTGCGAAGAATGCAAGCTGAAAAAAATTAAAGTTAAATAGTTTCCACAGTATTCAGATGAAACAAGAGATTATAAAATGAGACCAATACTGAATCATACATGATAGTAGTGCTGATCTGGAGTCTCGACACGAACTGGGATCTCGATCAAGTTCGCGTCTAGGCATCTAAGAACATCAAGGGACAGAAAATAAAAACTATCAGTTTAGAAAGAGAATAGGTCAACTGTGTGCTGAGAGTCTTCTGAGTATTATTGTAAGCCTTCTTTACCTGTGGTTAAGGAACCTTGAGATATTCCCATAATGTGACCCATCAAGACACAGTGCTTTGTTATCCTCTAAAGATTCTTCAGAACCCCAATGTGCATCCAATAGCACAGGAAAAGTGAGTTTATCTCCGAAGCTACGTTGGTATAACTCTGCGATTGTCAATATTTCTCCAATGTACTCACAAACAAATGCCCCTTTAGGCAATCTCTCCAGAGTCCTTAGACCCCAACCTTTCCCATTCGGCGTGAAAAACACCTGAATTTTAAAAAGTACGACTGATCAAAGATGGAAATATGATGAATGAATATCCTAAAAAGTGAGTTGGTAATTAAAGGTCAATGTTTTACCTGTAATTTGTTGTGTATTCCTCTTTGGACCACTCAGATTACCGCATCTCTTAGCGCATCCACATTTGTACCAACACTCTTTAATGGCTTTCCTCTTAATATGCCCTTTACATGGTTCCATTATCTCTCCATTTTTAGCTTTCTCCAGTGGGCACTCTTTACAGAATTGCAGCACCTGTTTTCGTTGATCACGGGACTCAGAGATCCGCTCTTCCAAGAAACCCTCCTTGAGTACTCCATCTACTGTATACGCAAACCCGTTATCAACTGCGATTGCACAATTGCACGGCATTGCTGAAACCAAGCAATCTTCGATACAAGAAGAGGAGCAGCATTGCTTATCAGAGAAACTCGAGAGGGAGAATTTCACAGCAGCATCTTGAAACGCAAAACTCTGTGGTATGTAGCGGAAAAGTGAAGGAACGTTGTCGTTGATCTCTTTCACCCATGTCGGAAAAGTGAAGGAACGTTGTCGGAAAAGTTCTCTTCACCTACCGTAATGTCCTTCATGTTGCTAATTGCTCTCCAGCCATCTGCAGAGATCTCACATTCCGGAACAATACCAACCTCATGGAAATGTCAGCTGCACTGCTTTCATCACCAGCCTTACTCAGATCAGAGACTGTTTCTGTTTCAAGTGTCTGGTTTTTTGAATTCTTTGCCAGGTCTATGTAACAGCTACACATGTCGTTCATGAAGCCAAGGACCGAGAAACCAGGGTGTATAATTTTGTATGACTTCTGGCATTTCTCCTCCATTGCTCTCCGAAGATCCTCCATGGAAGGCAAACGCAAAAATGTTTCTTCAGTTGCAGGCGAGAAGGTAAGACTAATCTTCGCCTCACCTGAAGTCGAAGAAGCTAATTCAAGTGCAGCAGCAGCAACTTTGTACTCGCGAGATTCCTCAACAGCTGAAGGAGGAACATCCATGGAAGTAGTATCATTGAGAGTACCTTCAGGTTCACCATTCTGTTCTTCCACAGGCATATTTGATTTCTCCATCTCGAGCATGGGAGCAGAACAGTTCACTGTATCTAAATAATGTAAAGAAACGTCAAGAGAAAACATTACACAAGACAGAGATTAAAGTCACATCCACATAAAGCAATACAAGAAAGAGTATTAGCGTTTTATCTTGCTTTCATGAAAAAATACCTGGAATGATAGGCTTATGCTCGGTAAAGGGCTCATCGTTGAAGATAACAAGTGCACCAGCATCAGAGTCGTTTCCAGTCTGTAGAGGACCAGCTGGTAAGAAGATTACTGGTGGAAGCTGACTTGTGTTGTTGTACTCGGTTATTGCAGAGCCTCTTTCAACTCTTCTGCGCAAGTACCTTTTCAAAGGAGGTAATGCATTCATATCATCATCCTCATCTTCTGCTTCAGGCTGAGTATTATGTAAAAAAAACCCAAATACAAGTTAAAACAACTGAGAAACACGAAAAGAAAAACAGATTGAATTTTTGCTCGGAACAATAGAAGTAAACATACGTTAGGCTCCTCTTCTCGGGCCTTCTTTGAGATGGGACTGGCTAAACTAAGGCTTGAGTTGTTATCACGTTTTCGGCGCAACCTTCTCTTCAGAGGAGTTTCTTCTTCATCAATATCATCGTCTTCGTCTTTCACCACAAGTTGAGTTTGCTTTAACCAGAAACCAAGTAAACGTTACACATGATGGAAAAACTATTCGAACACAGTCAACAGATTTTAGTTCATATACCTCAAGAGCCTTCTTCTTTCCCCTAGTCGTTGCTACATCCTGAAAGAATAAATAAAAAGACCATGAAAACTTGACAAAACAAACAAAAAATAACCAGAGCATGTTACCAAATCATTACAAGTGAACATACATTGGACTTGTTTTCTTCTTCCTTCTTTTTGTTTTCAGTGACCTGACAAATCAAGGACAGTCAAAACTGATAAGACAAAGCATGTAAGTCAATGAGACAAACATAGTCTGATCAGAGAAACAAACCTCCACATCTGCCTCGTCAAATATTGCATCTAAGAGAACCTTATAACCTTCATCTTCTATGAAATCCCACTTGTTATCATAGGACTTGAGAAGTTTCTTGAGAACCGACTTGACTTTAGCCTCTGGTCTATCATATTCCTTCATGGCGGTACAAGCTTTCTTAATTTTAGCAGCATGAGTTGGTGCCATTTTCTTACAAGTTTCTGCAATAACAAATCACCAATCTTATCAAACCTATTTTCTTACAAGTTTCTGCAATAACAAATCACCAATCTTATCAAACCTCAGGAAAAAAGTAACAAAAATGGAAACTTTCTACTTCCTAAGTCCTGATCAAGAAGTTAAAACAAAAAAGCAGAAGCCATTACGAGAGACCCACCAAAACCAACATCACAAGAAGTATGGAAACAGAAATAGCATCTAAACAGAACAAACATACGAAATTCAATAAGTAGTTTTCTTAACCCAAAACCAAACCAACAAAACAGAACTTTTCTTTCCAACAAAAAAATGGTGACTTTTTTCCCGAGATAACAGATCAGTCACACGAAACGAAATGACAAAAATAAACCCAACATTAACCCTAAAACGTGTGGAGAAGAATAAATTCTCGAAATTGAGCTGGAAACGAAAACATGTGAAACGATTTGCAGAGATTGAGAGGAACTTACCAGCAAACGAAGAAGCTCTGAAACTGGTTTAGGGTTTGAAGCGAGCAAGTTTAGCGTGAGAGAAAATGAATTCGACTTGAACAGAGAAGAGATGCGAGAATGTAGTGAAGAAACTGAGACTGTGGAGTGGAGTCTCTCTGTAATCTTCAGAGCATAAAACTTTTGGTATTCTCTGGTGTTTGAAGTGAAGTGGAAAGAAATTAAAAAAAAAACAAAAAGATGATTTGAAACGAAAAGAAGAAAGTCAAGACTCTGAGGGAACAAGAGACTTTCCTTTTAACGAAGATTTGTGCAAAGATCGAAACGCAAAGATCGAAACGCTGCGTTTTAGAGTCAAATCACACACATCATCTCTGTGTATGTGGTATGCTTGCCTCATTTGTATTGTTGGCTCAGTTCACTATCGTACAGTTTCAGTTTGACTCATGAGTCATGATGATTTCATTAATTTTATTGTCTTTTAAATATTGTTTTTCCTCATTTGAAGAAGATGGGCCTTTGATGAGCGAGCCCAAATTCACTAATGACTAGTACTCTGTTAAAGTAATCAGGTTTATTGTTCGAATTATAAGCATGTTCTACAATCGACCAACCGCGGAGTATTTGAGTGTAGTGAGGAAATTTCTGAAACCATTAGGAAATTCTGAAACCAGATTAGAAATCTTCAACCTAAGACCCTTTACGCAATGAAAGTAAACTGATTCGAAACTAAACATTGAGAACAAGACTAGAAAATGAGAGTGAAGAAGATTTCGATCACAAAACAAGCAGCAAAGTGCTGATACCTCGAAGATCAATACACTGAACTCCACAAGGTTTTTATGATAGATCCATGAATAAAAAGAACATCATCAAGGTTTTGGTAAGTCCATTACGGATCATGCCATTTAAGAAAGTGATAATGAAACCACATTTTGGAGTAGTACTAGAAGTAGATTTGGCATATGAATGTTCGTTAGAAATTAAGACAACGAAGAAGCTAAGATATCAAAAGATCCTTCATTTGTACAAGACTACAAGGTAAAAGGAAAAAAGCTCTGTTCTTGTTATAGTTACTGCTGCATAGGTTCAAATTCCAAATTCGACTTCATTCAGCAGCTAACAGATGCTCAAAGTCGACTTCATTTACCTATTTTAGATACTTCGTAGACAAAATCTATGTTCTTTATAGTGCTCTCGAGCCATAAATTGACATATAAACTCGAAGAAGATGATTCAAACAAGCTCGAATATAGCAGATTCACTACCAAATTTAAGCCCTGGTAAGTAAAACCTAATATTACACACGAATCCGAAAAAAACTGCAAGGAAACTAATCGAATAAGCAGAAAACAAGCATGAAATTCCCCAAACGAGATATGATACGATAAGACAAGACGGGATTTAGGGTTTCTACAGTTACTTTAGCGCACCGGGAGGTGGAGTTCCAAGGAGGCTAGCTTGCTGAAACTCCAACTCGTTTAATTGCTGCTCTCTCTCCATCTCAATGATCAAAGGTACGGCGAGTATCAGAAACGTCGTTCCGGCGATCCACGCCGCTTTTCCGGTGCTCCATAACAGCTTCTTCGACACGTAGACGGCGTCGCACGCGGCGCGTCTTCCCTGAGATACGATCTCAGAGTTCGAAATCTTCGCCAAGATGCTTGAATCTCTCTTGTTTGATTTGCCGGCTCCGATCTTCTTAGGCGCCATTGATTGCGATTTGAGAGATCTAAAAAAGTTCGC